CACCACCCACAAAACTACACGAGCTCCCACGCCCACTTCTAAGCAATCTTCCACCTACCAACTGGTGCCGAACGGCTCTGATTCAGATGATTCCACTGGAGGCAGCCGCCCAAAATGCGTCGAACTGCGTTGCCATGCAGTCAGCCATCCAGCTAGCGAGCCACCGCACCACTGGACGACCCAGCCAAACACCCACCCAACGCCACACCGGGCCACAACCACCCACAGACCCCACCTACCCACACACATGCGATACAGGACCCAACGCACACGCGACAGCCCGTGAGATAGAGATGGGCTCGTGAGTGCAAAAACATCGCAACGAATCCCAAGTCTGGCGGACATTCGCTCTCAAATCTATTGTTATCATCATACGCATATTAATATTCTCCATTTAGTTAAAACCTAGTATTTAGTTTTTACTCCAAAGGACAGTTGAATGGCAAAACACTTCCCCATTATTCCCTCATGAAATTATTGCAGGAAAGTGTTTTTGAAAACCGTGAAACTAATAAAAAGCATGGCGCCCTAAATACCCTGGAAACCCTAAACCGCACTGAAACCCCTAAACCTGCTAACCCCCGAGACCCTCGTAACCCCACTAATGCCACTGTGAAGCCACTGTATGGTGGCCCTAATCCGCTAATTTTCAATTGCCAAATCCTTGCAAATCTGCGTGTTGTGTACACACACATTTAAACAAAATGGAATACTAGTGTGTGTGCAGTTTAGGTCTATGTGTGTGACTGGCAAAATGTTGTGCAAACATGGAAAAGACCATCGGGGGATATCTGAGAACGGTGCAAAATTAATTACAAAGTCAGGAAAAAAATTCCTTTTTCATATCGCACATAATTTGGGAAGCATATATAGTAGTGAGTATAGTAGTGATAGTACACTCTCCTTGGCTTGCATCTCGTGGACCCGTAGCTTTGCGGGTAAACAAATGCAATTATATAAATATGTATTATGCGCTGGCCAGAACACTTCTGATTGTACAAAAGTTGCACATACACCCACCCGCCCAGAGGGAGAATTATTGTGCCTGCATGTGTGTGCGTTGAGCTGCATATACTTAACGCATATTATATTAGTTCTGGTCATATGCTAGTGTCCAGATTTATGTACATGCACATGCCGTGCAACATACCTATGTGGCTCAAACGAATGCAGGCTGGCAGGCGGCTTCTAATCTGGTGGAAAGTGCACTTTCATGCCCCCGAAGCGCTGCCTAATTTGCATTAAAAAGTCGAATATGTTTTGCGGGATTACTTGGGAATTGGACATGCTAACTATGGTACCTCGAGTTATCTTAGGAGATTATTAAAACAGCACACAGTACGCGTAAAAAATGGTATTCTCAGTGATATACTGAGTGAGTAAACTGCATTGCTTATGGGGTGCCAGGCCAGTCGGGCGTATACTTAATTTTTAATTGCCATAATTGCGCATACGCCGTGTGGGACAAAGAAACATCGTTTCGTGTATTTAATACTGGCCACCATCACACTCCTCTAGGAGGTTTATGTGCTTCAATTATATTTTCGATTTAAAAAGGTAAATTAAAGTAAAGAGCAGACCTTTTTAAGAACAAAAATTCAATTTGAAGGTTTTTAAATCTTCAATAAACAAATTGACCCATTAGACAGGACTGGCAGCGTCATCTGTCGGCGGAAAAGTGCACCTCGCTGCGTTGTGAGCTCGGTACAAAATATATTACAAAATATAAGCAACGTAAAAGGATGATAGAGTAAGAGGTAGAGAGGAAAAAATGGAAAACAGAAGGATAACAAAGATTTGGCTGGAAAAGTGGCAGGGAAAACAGCCTGGAAAAAGGACAAAGACAGGGCTTTTTGTCGTGTGGAAGGGGATATGGGGCAGGGAGCATGGAACATGGAGGTGGTGAGGTTGTGAGCTTGTTGGTTATGCGTGGGCAGCCCCGTCCCCTTTTTCAGCTAACGCCAACTCAAAGTATATAAAAGTGAAACATGCTGAAAATGCTTACATAAGCACAAAAAGAGGCGACTCTCAAGGGGCGTAGAAAAATGTTGGGGAAGGAGGGGGCTTTCGGTTCTGAGTAGGTGGAAGGACGAAGCTTTTGCCCCGCCCACTGTCGCCCCGTCCCACGAGTGAGGATGTGTGTGTGTGCGAGACTTGCATACATTGGCAACAACAAAAAGCAACAGCAACTGTAAATATTGAAAATTTCATATCCGCTATGATGTTAACCTCACACAACCACCGTCAGATGGCGGCACCTACGAATATGACACCCCAGTACCCAGTACCAAGTACCTCCTACCACCAGCTTCCTCCCCCCCTCCACCGTTTGCCCATTTGTGTCAACCAGAGAAGGAGAGATCAAATAAAATAAACCCGAGGAAAAGCATCAGCACAGCCAAAAAAATACGTATGTATGTACATAAATATATATACGTTATATATGTATGAATACATAATACATAGCATATTGTACTCTTGGGGGCGCCACTGAGCGGCAGTTGTCGTCGCCTTTTCTGCACCCCCATCGCTATCGCCATCGCCATCGCCCCCGCCACCCTCTCATTCCCTTCCAGTAAAGCCTAAGTCCTTCTCGAAAAGAAAAACTGGCTTTAAAAAAGTCCAAGCTTATACACCCTTTTAACTTCAAATGTACACTTTAGTTTCAGGAAAACTCAGGTTTGCGACTCATTCGGTAATCCTAAGATGCTGTAATCTTATTTCAATATTATTAAGTTGACCCACATTCCCTAATCAAAGATAATTATCGCAGTACAAGAATAACATTTCAGATAGTTTCCTGTTCTTTGCACTCTTTGGTGTTTCTATTCTTCGCTCCCCTTTTCCCCGCAGCTTTTGCACTGCTCCCTCTGTAGAGGGACTGTTAAGTAACAGACGTTTGAAGAAACATCGTTAACTGCTCATTGACAGAAAAGAAAAAACATTTTGCATTTTAGGTCAGGTCGCAAATCTATGCAGCAAAACGACGCCTCATGACTCGTTTCTTGCTTTTTTTCATTTTTGCTTATGATTCTACTGCTCTTTCTCCACCTCCTCCTCCTATTTCTCCTCCTTCTCTCTCTCGCTTTCAGTGTTTTCTTCTGGCGTCGTGAGCTGGCGGCGTATAATTTTCATGGCAAGTTCAATGAACTTGCGAATTTTTTTCCTTCGCTTATTTTCTACTACTAGTTTTTGTGTTGTGTTTGAATTTTTTTTTTCTATTTTCTTGGAGTATTCAAGCAATAAGTGGCAAAATAAGCAGAGGAATCAGAAGAAGTGGAAGCTAGACAAAAGAGAAATTAGGTTTTCTTACTAGTTTTCTTTTATGCTTGAGCTTGCCAATTTGTGCATAAGGTTCAATTGGCAAAGATTTTGGCTTCCAACGAAGACCGTTGAAGAAACCTAATCTCTGATTTAATTCTTAGGGACATGTTTAGTTCTACCAGATGGGTACCTAAACTTACGAATGCCAAATTGGACACCAATGGAAATTCTGCAATTTATAAACGATTTTGTTACACCGTTTATGATGAAAGTCCTCTAAGTTCAGTTATTTTTGGACTTCCTACTTAGGTCCCAATCCACCTCGTCTCCACACTTTCTCTTAATGCTACGCCTTCTCTTCACTATTTTTTTTTTTCAGATTTTCCAAACACTTTTTTCACCATTTTTTGCAGCTCTTGTTGGAATTTTGTAGACTAACCTTAAAGCGGCTCATTTTCCGCTGCTTTACCACGGGCATCGCGCTCTCACTTGCTCCTTCGCTCTCTCTCTTTCTTGCTTTTGTGCTTTTCCTCTATTTTCGCTGAAGTTTTTTTCGAGCCAGTTAGGGCCTTTTGTTTAATTTAAGTTTAATTTATTGTTTCACTTCATGTTTCAATGTTATCATATAACTGTTTTTGAAGGGTTTATTTTCAGAGCACTTCACAAAAAAAATGCACACAAAAAACTAAAAATAATTGCAAGAGTTGATGCTGTTCTTAAAGTTCCCCGCACTCCTACTTGCTCGGCTGCGCCACTGGGAGTGGGTACCGATTCCGATAACGATAACGCCAACGACAACAATTGCGATAACAACGACAAGGACAGCGACGCAGCAAACCGCGAATATGCAACGCGAACTGAAACTGAAACTCCATTGAAGCGTGGCAAGCGATTGAGAAAACCCGGCGGCGGCTCGGAAAACCGATTTTTTGCTCCACTCTTTGCTTGCCTATTTCGCCTTCGCCTATCTTCTCCACGGATATATTTGCAGAGTTTTCTCCTTTGTGGGCCGCCTTTGGCCTTGGGTTTTCAACGTTTGCAACGCGACTGCGGCAATAGGTTTGCTGCCGCTGCGTCGGCTGCTGCTAGTGCCGGGCTACTGCCAATACCTCTGCCTCTGCCTCGGTCGACGTCACAGCCGCGGTCGGCTACCTTCTTTTACTTCCTTCTTTTTTTCGGGTGCAGAAAGTTTTTGTTGCTGTTGGGGGAAAATCAGAGGCGACACAGGACTACCACGAAGTCCAACAACGAACTGTTTACAAATTCCGGCTAACGCAAAGTCGCCAAAACGTTGCTTCGTCTGCTGTCGCTGCCGGCGTCGACGCTGGCTTTGACGCTTGGTTTCGTGGATGCCGCTTTTTTAGCTGTGTTGTTTTTGTTTTAGATTTTTTTTTTTTTTTAACCCCTTAAGCAGCGTTTTGGCAATAAATATGTAGGTCCTGAAGCAGTGACAATAGGGAAAATGGCTTTCTAATTTGGCAAGTGGGAGGATAGTTCCGTATGTGGGGCAATTAATCTATAGCGCCCACTAACAAAGTCAGCAAACAGAAATTTAAATTTTACAGAAAAGAGAAAAAGTATGGAATAGGGAATATGAAGGAAAACAAGTAGTGGCAGTGCAATAAGTGGGGAACAATGGGGAGACAGCGCCCGACCTACGACCACATTAACAGAGCGAACCTTTGAGAGAGCCAGCAGACAAGAGAGAGCCGGTGAAACGTCACTGTTAATAACATATCTAAGCACTAGCCGGCTGAGCTTGTCGTTTTTGTTCTCTTTTCCGTTGCACCTTCTTTCGCGGCGGCGGCGGCGTCACCGCCGACTTCGCTGACAGGAGGCCAAACAGGCCAATCGAGTACACCGAAAAAAACAGATTGCGAGTAAAGTTATTGGAATTCTCATAAACTTACCCTGACTCCGATAAAACGAGCCTCCAGTAACTCCTGTTTTCGTGGATTTAGCGACGTTTGGAACTGATCCATAGCGGCAAACGATTATAATTGGCTGCGATATTGTTTTTTTTTTGTCAGTTTTGTGGATTCACAGGAAGCAGTTTTTGTAAACGGGATTGTTTCCGATTGCAAGCTTTGAAAGGTGTTACTTTTTTTTTTTTTAGCATTTACATGAGCAACTTAACAGCGACTGCGTTCTTCGGCAATGAATGCGAAAAAATTTTACAGATGGCAAATTCATCTGGAAAACATAAAACAGCGCTATTGATAATCATTTTAAGTACCTTCTGTATACATACTACTCCTAAGAATTTTTGGGTCCACTGTGTGGGACTAGCAGACTCTTATCTAAAAGCGTTTCCTTATCATCATAATTCGGTTGCTTTTTATAGCAAACAAAATATGAGTAGAAATCCTCAGGAAAATATTATAATGCTTTGAACGTTGTTCAAGAATCTATAGCATGTACGCACTCTCCACAACAGTATGTCGCAATCATGGACTGACTAAGGGTTAATCTATCGGACTCAATTTAATCTTTTCGACTGTTTTTTAATTGTTTACATTCCCGTTCTCTTTCTTCTAGCGATATTTTGCATCCAGCCTGCCTGCGCTTTCAGATCGACATCACGAGTCCAATTGGAGTGGCTGCGAGCCAGAGAGGCAGAAATAGCGAAGATGGTCGAAATAGGAAGAGCGTCCAAAGCGAGGGCCGTGTAAAAAAATATATGAAACACAATGCAACTTTAACTAAAGATGCAAACTACAATATACTCCGAACTCGGCATTTACGCCCCTAGCAGCCGCTAACTGAAACAAACACAGATAATCACACACATCGTACGTACATTATTTGCTATTTTGGTTTTGCCTTTTGCACCGGTATTTTTATTGCTTAGCACTGGTTGTGGCTTTGCTTAGCTTTTCTTTGCTGGTTTTACCTTCGCTACTGTATTTGTATTTTTCGAGTGCTTTCTTTTATTTATGTATTTTTGCTTTTATTTTTCTGCACACATGTCAGTTTTAGCATTTTCGGCGTGTGCCTAAGAGAGAGGCATTCGCCGGTTGGGGATTCCTTCTTCCGTTCTTCTTTTTTGCATTACAAATTAAAATTGAGTTTCGCGTACAGCGTGTGCTACAATAGTAGCAATAACAATACAAAAAAAAAAAACGCGAACACTAACACACAAAGACTTTTCACTCGCCGACTTCGCTTCGTTTTGCTTGATTTTTTGCGAGGTTAAGTTTAGTTTAGTTTAGTTTTCCAATCTCGGGTTCTTGCAGCTGCTCCACGAGCATCATATAGTTAAATGCCTAAGGCCATGCCAAAGGCAATATTTCGGTTATTAGCGTTTACTTTTCGCTTTTGCAATTATTTTGTCACAGCAAAAAAAAAAATTAACTTCTTTATCCACAGAGTGAGACCAAACAGCGGTCGCGAGGTATTTCCGCAGGTGGCGTTACAAAAATACCGCACATTTTGGGACTTAACAGCACTGATGAAAAAATACCACATATATATACTATAATAAAAGCGCCAAGTTTAAATTAAAGTTTAACCTTTTCAAATAAAATTTTATATGTTAGAAATAAGTAATTTTCTAGCAATTATTTATTTAAATATCCTATCAGTCACTCTTTTATTTAATATGTATGCAGACTATACTCAATTTATTCGTATTTATTTCATATCAAATTGTTTAACTTAAGGACGGCTTAAAAATTTTACAATATAACTTTAAAAAAAGGCACTTGTATACCTTCTATATCCCTTAATTAAACCCAAATTAAAGAAATAAATCAAAAATTGTAACGAAAAGAGAGGCGCCCTAATCCATTTTTACTAGTGTGGCAACGTTGTGAGGACTATCGATTACATTAGCGTGCCGATTGTTCACACCTAAGAATGCCGCTATAATTTAAATTTAAGCTTATAGGGAAACAATTATAAATAATTTCTTGCGCTAAAAATATTTTATATATAATAAAAATTAAACATGACTTCAATAAGGTTATGTAAGGTTATTGGCGAAGATATTTGGGTTTTAACTTCCTTTAACTTTAAGGTTGATGCAGAATGGTGGCAAATCGATCTAGAAATCGTTTAAGGTACTCCGCTTGAGAATCGGATATGAATTGGGGAAGATATAGCCATCCCTGTGGACCCTACAGGAGAAAACCCCATTTTCAAGGGACCCCATCAGGAAAAATGGACAAAAAATCTAAAAAATATTTTGTCTCAGGATTTTGATGCAGAATGGTGGCAAATCGATCTAGAAATCGTTTAAGGTACTCCGCTTGAGAATCGGATAAGAATTGGGTAAGATTCAAGAATTCAAGGGACCCCATCAGGAAAAATGGAAAAAAAATCTAAAAAATATTTTATTTCAGGATTTTGATGCAGAATGTTGGCAAATCGATCTAGAAATCGTTTAAGGTACTCCGCTTGAGAATCGGATAAGAATTGGGTAAGATATAGCCATCCCTGTGGACCGTATAGGGGAAAACCCCATTTTCAAGGGACCCCATTAGAAAAAAAAAAGACAAAAAATATAAAAAATATTTTGTCTCAGGATTTTGATGCAGAATGTTGGCAAATTGATCTAGAAATCGTTTAAGGTACTCCGCTTGAGAATCGGATAAGAATTGGGTAAGATATAGCCATCCCTGTGGACCGTATAGGGGAAACCCCCATTTTCAAGGGACCCCATCAGGAAAAATGGAAAAAAAATCTAAAAAATATTTTGTTTCAGGATTTTGATGCAGAATGTTGGCAAATCGATCTAGAAATCGTTTAAGGTACTCCGCTTGAGAATCGGATAAGAATTGGGTAAGATATAGCCATCCCTGTGGACCGTATAGGGGAAAACCCCATTTTCAAGGGACCCCATTAGAAAAAAAAGACAAAAATATAAAAAATATTTTGTCTCAGGATTTTGATGCAGAATGTTGGCAAATCGATCTAGAAATCGTTTAAGGTACTCCGCTTGAGAATCGGATAAGAATTGGGTAAGATATAGCCATCCCTGTGGACCGTATAGGGGAAAACCCCATTTTCAAGGGACCCCATTAGAAAAAAAAAAGACAAAAAGTATAAAAAATATTTTGTCTCAGGATTTTGATGCAGAATGTTGGCAAATCGATCTAGAAATCGTTTAAGGTACTCCGCTTGAGAATCGGATAAGAATTGGGTAAGATATAGCCATCCCTGTGGACCGTATAGGGGAAACCCCCATTTTCAAGGGACCCCATCAGGAAAAATGGAAAAAAAATCTAAAAAATATTTTGTTTCAGGATTTTGATGCAGAATGTTGGCAAATCGATCTAGAAATCGTTTAAGGTACTCCGCTTGAGAATCGGATAAGAATTGGGTAAGATATAGCCATCCCTGTGGACCGTATAGGGGAAAACCCCATTTTCAAGGGACCCCATTAGAAAAAAAAAAGACAAAAAATATAAAAAATATTTTGTCTCAGGATTTTGATGCAGAATGTTGGCAAATCGATCTAGAAATCGTTTAAGGTACTCCGCTTGAGAATCGGATAAGAATTGGGTAAGATATAGCCATCCCTGTGGACCGTATAGGGGAAAACCCCATTTTCAAGGGACCCCATTAGAAAAAAAAAAGACAAAAAATATAAAAAATATTTTGTCTCAGGATTTTGATGCAGAATGTTGGCAAATCGATCTAGAAATCGTTTAAGGTACTCCGCTTGAGAATCGGATAAGAATTGGGTAAGATATAGCCATCCCTGTGGACCGTATAGGGGAAAACCCCATTTTCAAGGGACCCCATCAGGAAAAATGGAAAAAAAATCTAAAAAATATTTTGTGTCAGGATTTTGATACAGAATGGTGGCAAATCGATCTAGAAATCGTTTAAGATACTCCGCTTGAGAATCGGATATAAATTGGGGAAGATATAGCCATCCCTGTGAACCCCACCGGAGAAAACCCCATTTTCAAGGGACCGCATTAGGAAAAATAGACAAAAAATCTAAAAAATATTTTGTGTCAGGATTTTGATGCAGAATGTTGGCAAATCGATCTAGAAATCGTTTAAGGTACTCCGCTTGAGAATCGGATATGAATTGGGGAAGATATAGCCATCCCTGTGGACCGTATAGGGGAAAACCCCATTTTCAAGGGACCCCATCAGGAAAAATTGAAAAAAAAATCTAAAAATATTTTGTCTCAGGATTTTGATGCAGAATGGTGGCAAATCGATCTAGAAATCGTTTAAGGTACTCCCCTTGAGAATCGGATATGAATTGGAAAAGATATCGCCATCCCTGTGGACCTCATAGGGGAAAACCCCATTTTCAAGGGACTCCATCAGGAAAAATGGACAAGAAAACTAAAAAATATTTTGTTTCAGGATTTTGATGCAGAATGGTGGCAAATCGATCTAGAAATCGTTTAAGGTACTCCGCTTGAGAATCGGATAAGAATTGGGTAAGATATAGACATCCCTGTGGACCGTATAGGGGAAAACCCCATTTTCAAGGGACCCCATCAGGAAAAATGGAAAAAAAATCTAAAAAATATTTTGTTTCAGGATTTTGATGCAGAATGGTGGCAAATCGATCTAGAAATCGTTTAAGATACTCCGCTTGAGAATCGGATATAAATTGGGGAAGATATAGCCATCCCTGTGAACCCTACCGGAGAAAACCCCATTTTTAAGGGACCCCTTTAGGAAAAATAGACAAAAAATCTAAAAAATATTTTGTCTCAGGATTTTGATGCAGAATGTTGGCAAATCAATCTAGAAATCGTTTAAGGTACTCCGCTTGAGAATCGGATATGAATTGGGGAAGATATAGCCATCCCTGTGGACCGTATAGGGGAAAACCCCATTTTCAAGGGACCCCGGAAAAATGGAAAAAAATCTAACAAATATTTTGTTTCAGGATTTTGATGCAGAATGGTGGCAAATCGATCTAGAAATCGTTTAAGGTACTCCCCTTGAGAATCGGATATGAATTGGAAAAGATATCGCCATCCCTGTGGACCCCATAGGGGAAAACCCCATTTTCAAGGGACCCCATCAGGAAAAATGGACAAAAAAACTAAAAAATATTTTGTGTCAGGATTTTGATGCAGAATGGTGGCAAATCGATCTAGAAATCGTTTAAGATACTCCGCTTGAGAATCGGATATAAATTGGGTAAGATATAGCCATCCCTGTGGACCGTATAGGGGAAAACCCCATTTTCAAGGGACCCCATCAGGAAAAATGGACAAAAAAACTAAAAAATATTTTGTGTCAGGATTTTGATTCAGAATGGTGGCAAATCGATCAAGAAATCGTTTAAGGTACTCCGCTTGAGAATCGGATATAAATTGGGTAAGATATAGCCATCCCTGTGGACCCCATAGGGGAAAACCCCATTTTCAAGGGACCCCATCAGGAAAAATGGAAAAAAAATCTAAAAAATATTTTGCCTCAGGATTTTGATGCAGAATGGTGGCAAATCGATCTAGAAATCGTTTAAGATACTCCGCTTGAGAATCGGATATAAATTGGGTAAGATATAGCCATCCCTGTGGACCGTATAGGGGAAAACCCCATTTTCAAGGGACCCCATCAGGAAAAATGGACAAAAAAACTAAAAAATATTTTGTGTCAGGATTTTGATGCAGAATGGTGGCAAATCGATCTAGAAATCGTTTGAGGTACTCCGCTTGAGAATCGGATAAGAATTGGGTAAGATATAGCCATCCCTGTGGACCGTATAGGGGAAAACCCCGTTTTCAAGGAACCCCATCAGAAAAAATGGACAACAAATTTAAAAAATATTTTGTCTCAGGATTTTTATGCAGATTATCAATCTCGAGATACAATTCGTTTAAGGTATTCCGCTTAAGAATAGAACGTGTATTTGCGAAGATACAGCCCTCGTTTGACACCATATTTTCCCCTTAAGGCTTTTTACATGGGCGCCCCTTTAAAAAAAGGACAAAAAATGGAACGAAAATTGAGTCCCAAGATTTTGATGCAGATTGATAGGGAATCGGTCTAAGAATCTTTTTAGAAAATATTTCACTTCAGAATCATCCTTTGTATGAGGTCATATGTTCCCCTAAAAGCTTTTCCGTTTTTATGCAAAAATATAGAAATATTATTGGAATTTCGATTTGTCATAACTGGGAAGAGCATAAATCGGCATTTGATTACTGGAGAGCAGAAAGCGGACAGGCACCTATTTTATTTTGAGGGAGTGGAATGAAAGAGAAAGAGAAGGACAGACTACAGCAATAACAGTCACAACAACAACATCTGAAATAATGGGGCATAAGCAAATCGCTTGATAAAATATTTGAAATTCATTTCGCGCCGCTGCTTGGCAGCCGTTGGCATTTCGATGACAGCATTTAATGCTATTATGTAAACTTTTTCTTAGTGTTTCTGCCAGAGGCAGGGAAAGGGGAAAGGGGCTTCCATAAAGGTCAGCCACAAAAATTACAAAGCCCTGTCCCATGCAGGCATTGAATTGATTTTAAAGTTCCGGCCAAACCCAAAATGTGGTTTTTTCAAACACCACAGCCTCTGTTGTGTGCGCAACAAATTAAGCCCATTAACCATCTCCGTTTTGGCCAAAAAAAAATCAACCTGTTGCAATATTGGGCACTACAAGATGATCCAAAAAGCTGGGGGCATTATCTACCAATTTAAAAAAACTGTGGGAAGTATTTATATTTGACTTTCATACGAATTTCTCTGAACGATTTCACAAATTCGATACTTTGAGTGTCTTACTGAACGTAAGACCCGAGAGGTTGGGCCTTTTAAATGATTTATCTTTACGGTTTTAACCAAAATCTTGGAGTTATAGAAGTCTTTTTTGAATTTAAAACCTTTGGATGGGGTTCGCTTCTGACGGTCTATTTTTTAACGCTTATGGCATTTTCACAATACGTTACTATTCCTTGAATTGTGGTCGAGACCTATGGGCCGACTTCGCAGTCGTTTGGGCTATAACCGCAGAAGTAGTCCGTAATTGATAAGTTTTTTGGTTGCTGGTGGAAACCAACAAAACTTCGTTGAAGCCCACCATTAGCTTAAAAATTATCTAGTGTTGCCTTTGGTATTGTGTCCAAGAACAGAAGCAGCTGACTTACAGCTAACAGCTCTTGGCCTGGCTAACAGACACAAATGCTAACAGAGTGCTTTTGCGGCTGCGCAGCAACTTGTTTTGGCGTTGCTAGATGCTGCTGTTGTTATGTCGCATGTTGCTGCCGTCTGGTTGCTGCTGACTGGTTTCTGTTGGCTGGTTTCTGTTGGCTGGTTTCTGTTGGCTGGTTTCTGTTGGTTGCTTTCTGTTGGCCCAAACGATAACGGGCTCAGTCAGTGCAGCGGCGACTCTTGAACGGTATTGTTGGCTTAGCGGTAACTCGGCACTGCGGCGTGAATACTAAACACAAAATAAAGCTGTGGATCTATTACTTATTTTTGTTTTTTTCTGGAACTTTTCCATTTTATTGTAAATTTTTTTTAATATTTTTTTGAATTTGTTTCTTGGCATTCAAGTTTTTTGCGTGCCTTGAGTGAATGTGGAAAATGTGCAAATAGGATTTAACTGGTGTTGTGTGGATTTACTTTTTGATTATTTGCTACTTATATTAGCGGCCTTTAAGACTAAAAAATTAAAAAGAAAACTGAAAAAAGGCGCCGCCGCGGATGGTCGAAAGTGAAAAACTGAATGCGCAGACGTGTGTAACATGGTTTTTACTTTCGGCCTGGTTTTGGCACCCTTGCCTGCCGTTTCTGCTTTTGTTGCTTTTTTTAAAGCCTTGGAAGTTTGCTGGGAGGCGGTGGACCATTTAGCCAAGATCTGTGCAGATTGCATAAAATAGAGGCAGCACAAAACGAAGACTTCGGCCTTTTGGATAGTTTTTTTCAATAGGCTTCGTAATTTTTTTCTGTGTACAGCTGCACCCAGCTTTAGCCGCAAAAAAAATAAAAAAAAGCAACAATCGTAGACTGCATTTAGCCTAGTTTTCAATGCAGTAATACTTTAAAAAAATACCACTAGAAAAAATGCAGCGACAAACAAAAATCTCACACTAAATTTTTACCTTCATTTTTCCTACCTCCTCGCCGTTGTCGTCGCGTCTAACTCGAACTACAACAAAACTAGCAACAACAATAATAATAACGAGAAAAAGAAAAACAAGAAGGGGAGCAGCATCTACAACATCCAATTTGGCAGCCACATATATCCCAAGGAGCCTTGTATTGCCACCTCGACCAGCAAAAAGCCGCCAAAATGCTTCCGGTAAGTGGTTGCAACTTTGCAGCAATTGAATCGAAAAACTCGGCAAGAAATCATTTTTATATCGCCTTCTGCATTTTGTACGCAATTAGCGCAAATCTGGCCAAGAGCCGTAAATTTTTTGACCAGTATTAACCATTTCCTGGCACCCATAAGGGGGTTAACAGGGGCCGGACAACCTTGAGGGGATTGGGCCTTTTGGCGTAAACCGAAAGTGGTTATCCCTGACAGGACTGCCAAGGACACTATATGGGTTCAGGAAGAATTGAAGCCTTCGCGTCATTAAACTGGTTCTGGCATCTTCGTTTTTGAATATATTTACCTACCACATACATATAATATTATATATGGATTTCTGAATTATTCATCAGAGTTGATTTCGATTTCGTTGGCCCGGTTTGACTTGTTGATATTAAATGTCTCTCTTAGATGATTGCATAATTAATGTGTGACTCAACTCAGAATTGGATTCTTGGCTTGAGAAAAAATGAGCGCTTTATGAGAAAAATGAGATTTTTATGTTTTTTGGGCAATAAAATTTGGTTGATGAAAAAGATGGAAAACAACATATTGAATTTCAATCCTCTTAATATTTAAATAACGCTTCCATATATTGAATCTTTATATCGGCAAATAAAGTTTTTACGGTCCTAGAGTTACATAACCCCGAAACTTTTACCCCGATTAACACCTCCATGGCCTCTGATTGCAGTTCCCATGCTAATTGAGTGCAAAACTTTCAGACACGAAGCACCCTAAATTCGGGGAATACAAACCAAAGACATTGCACGCATTTTAAAGATACAAAGATACTCACACTACTGGCATCCGTTGCTGTAAGTAAATCTGTTGTTTGGACCTACATACGATTCTCAATCGCAAATTCCATGCAAATTTAGTGGCGCATGCGCTGAAAACTCGTTTAGGACTTGTGGCTTTTATAGCCTGGGTTTCGTTGCTTTTGTCGTATTTTCGGTCTCAACTTATTTTTGCCACGCTATTTTTCGGTGTCTTGTGTGAGTGGGCGAAACATGTTTTGGCGACAAGTGCTCGATGGCAGATGAGTCTTAGGATTTGTATAGTAGGGTCTTCATCTCCAATCACGTCAGGCCACAAAAATGCGTGAGAAGAGGAAACCTGGCCGAGGTCTTTGTCTGAGCCAGGCGGAAATCGAATCGAAACCATACGTACATACATACATATGTATGTACCCAACTAAGCCCAGCCCGCTAGCTAAAATTGCACGTTCATGCAACTCGAGTGCAGCAAAATTATTGCCAGCTTCAACGCCAACGCAGTGGCACGCCGCACCCCAAGACAATGACAGTGAACTGGGCCCCTGAGACGATCCCGACAGCAAGCCACAGCCAAAAACAAGCTCGAAGCTTAGTCATCTAATCAAGCATTTGATATTTGCTTATAATGCAACCATAATTCCACAGTTTTGCAGGGTCCCGGGATGCCCTTTGCCTCGACCAAATAACCTCTGTTAGTTACAAAATAACAGTCCACAGACTGATACTTACATACTCGTATCAAAAACATAGATTGTGATTTTCAATGTCCCAGGAGGTGGCACAATTACATGGTTTACTCATCCAGTTACGCAGATCTCCTTCTGCCAAACCCGATTACTTTAACTTTACTAATATATAAGTTCATATACCGCCTGGAGGTGCCACATCCGCCTCGCATCCGCGAAGCGACCAAAGAAAGGGGCAAATCCAGATTGGCAAATCGGAATTCTCCGCTGGCTGAAAGTGAAACCCGGCAACAAAGGCTTGACAACGACAACAAGAGGGTAAAAGTGAATGTATCTGCGACCTTGGAGGTAGCTAGCGGGGGGTAGGGATCGTATTGATGCGTTTTGGCATTTTATTTAAAAAGCATTATAGAAGGCTTAAGTGGACCCACCAGTCGGTCTCATTAAGTTACCGGTTTTCGGCTATGAGGTTTAATATTGGCCCGAAATGCCAGCATTCCCCGTCGCATCCACTGCAATGGCTTTTGTAATTGTGTCTGTCAGATACACAGACACACGTGCATCTGGACGTATGTATCTACTGTGCCTTCCTTCAGCAGCCCCATTGCAAAATTTGCAATTTTTTGTTTCTGTTGGTTTTGTTTTTGCTGTTGCTGCTCTGCTCGTTACGTATGAGGCAGCCCCTGTAAAAGGGGGTTTGCCAACCGCGGTGGCGTCGGACTGAGACATGGTCCAGAGGCCACCGGGATGATTTGATTTCATGGCATCAACTGCACGACCTGGCTCAAGTGGGGGGAGGCTTGCGGGAGACACTGATTTGGGGAACATGCAAATCATTAGCACGCCCCTGTGCAAGAGGGGCCTGTTAAAGTCGCTGGATTTTGGCTTTAAGATTGGATTTTGTTCAAGCTCTGCCTGACATTTTTCTAGACTTGCCAATCAAAATATATTTTTGCTCATGATCGTAGCATATTTTCATTAAAAAATACAGTTCCCACCCTTGAAACATAACTGTAAATTCGCCTGTCACCTTTACGCATACCTGAACCCGAAATAAATATACTATGTATGTATTTATGTATACCACTCACCAGAGTCTGTGTGATCTTACAGACCTACTATATATTATATTCCTCCATGTATCGGTTATGCAGTCTGAAGGTCAACCTGTTTTTATTCAGCGGCCACTGAGAAGAAAAAAGCAAAAGTTATAAATTAATTTATTAAGCCAGAGCACGACCGACCACTCTCCGCATTTAAACTCGTTTGCGTTTGGCCAATACCTAATACCTAATACCCAATGGTCAATAGCCATAACAGTAACAATAACAAAACACTTGCTGAAAAATTCCTAAGTCTTGAGTCTTGGCCGACGGAGACTAACTGACCCCCAATTGGTATTTAAAAGAATGTGACTGCATTTGCCACCAGGCCGAAACAAGACGACCAAAACGCCAATAAAAACTGCTAAAAAACTGAATCAAAATGAACAATGGAGACTTTAATTGCCACAAGGATGGTGGTCAAAAACAAACAAATGGACTTAGTTGGCACAATTGTCATTGTTTGTTTGTGCTTTTTAAGAAAAAGTACAGAACGATAAATTAGGCAAGCTTGGAAAAAGATTTTCTATTTAATTTTGGCAACAATTTTTTCTGGCTAAAAGTGAAATCTCATATTTTGATATTTAATTAGCAAATTCCACCATTAAATAAGAAAGTTACCAAACTTCCCTTTCCGTTTTCTTTTTAATAAACCCCTAATTTCTCTAATCAAAATCATAATTTGCTAACAAAAAAACCAAATTTAATCGCGCCGAGTCACGTTTCGATCTAATTAAGTTGATCTTCTCGGTCCTAACCCTAAGAAGATCTCTTAACCCTACCTGGACCCTCAGTGCGCTTGACGCTTATTTTTCCCATTTCAGTTTTTTTATCTTATAGTGTTTCTGCTGATGCTTTGTTGCCGGATGTATTCTGCTTTGTTTGGCTAAACAATTTCCACCGAACGAAATTGAAAGTGGCAAGAAGCGGCCCCCAAAGCGGCAAGAGTTAATAAGAAAAGGCATAAATAAGTTGTATGGTATACCAAAGCTGTGTTTTAAAGGGCATAAAGCTTACGCAAGACCTCGTCTCCGATCGAGCTTCTTCCGTTGGTTTTTAGTGTTTGGTTTTCATTGTTCAGTTGATATGACATAATTGGTTCAAATAAGCGAAAGAAATGCTCGGAGCTCTTTACAACTCTTTAATTTGGCCACCAGCCATAGAGACAACAAAAACAAGGCTATAAAATGAAAAATAAAAACGAAATTTAAAAGGAGATGAGGTGGTTTATAACACCTACCGTTAGCTGCCTGCTAATTTCGCTATGTTTGCCAATTATCGGCCACTACAATGATAGTTTCGAAGTTAATGCGATGCGGCTTCTTGTCGATCCACCCTCGGTGAGGGAAGTGCCCAGAGGGGTGCCCTGGCAAGGGGCCAACTTTCGATTTCACTTTCATGTGGCGGCTGCAAATTTCGCACCTTCCGCAAGCACAAAAATGTCATTGCCTTGCAAAAGCTATAAACTAATCTGATGGTGTATAATTTGCAACTGGTTGCAGCGCGTCCTTTTATATTTTAATTCTCAACTGGTTCTGGCAGATGACACTTTGCTAATCAAATTATCCTTTTGGCTAAACAACGTTAGAGCACTACTCTTGAATAGCTTTCTCTACTACTGATTTTCTGAGCTTGATTAGCTAGCAGACTTTGACGTAGCCGAAAGTTGGACAATGTCCAAATTCGACAAATTTCGCCAATAAGATAAATGACAATCGGCCAGAAAGCTAAATAAACGCAGCATTTCTCCCAAGAAGTCGAGGAAATTTTGCAGACAGAATGGCGCTGGGGGTACACTCCACTGTCACTCTCCGATTTTCTGGCTTTTCTGCCACGCAAATTCGAAGCCAATGCAGCATTTTCACGGCCATCTCAGATGTGCGGTCGGAATGGCAATTAAGCTGTGATCAAACATTAATTATGGTATTAACCTGTCAGCTGGAAGGGGAAAGTTTATGGTCGAAAAGAGCAATTGGCTTGGCCAGGAGATGTCAACGAAAGCCTCCAAAATGTTGTGGGAAAAATGCACTTTTGGCTAAAACAAGAGTATTAACCGTGTTATCTTATCTTAACAAGCAAAACGAAACTAATTAAGAAGCTAAAAAGACACTCAAAAGTTTTGTTTCGCTCAGTAAACAAGTTTTATTTTACACTTTCGCCAAACATATGTACCCGATTTGTGGGTATTTAATGGTGAAAATTGTACCATTAACATGGCCAGGTGCAAAATGATAAGCTTGTCAACCCACTCACTAAACGACATGAAGCCTCGTTTGTTTCGACCAATCGATTGATGGAGCACCTTGAAATCGAAGCCGACACTTCAAAGAGCTGGAAGCAGTTAGCTGAATTGAAATTATGTGGCGAAGGGGAAACAGAACGCTTTGACATTTAACGTTATGGTGAAGTCAGTGATT